AAATTTGCGAACTTGCTAAGCACCATCGTGTTTCTTACCCATTAAGTATTAATAAAAGTTTTGCACCTTTTGCTCTTGTCCATAGTGATGTTTGGGGTCCTTCTCGTGTGTCAAATTTATCCAGTTCCAAATGGTTTGTCACATTCATTGACAATTATTCCCAACTTACTTGGGTTTATTTGATGACTGACAAAAGTGAAGATCTTGCAGCTATACCCCTCAGCAGAATGGGGTAGCTGAACGGAAAAATCGCCATCTTCTAGAAGTTGCTCGTTCCCTACTTCTTTCCATGTCTGTACCAAAGTCTTATTGTGGGGAGGCTGTCCTTACTGCTGCTTATTTGATCAATAGGATGCCTTCGCAAGTTCTCAAATTTCAAACTCCCCTTCAGGTGTTCACTGCTGCATGTTCTCCTTCTACTGTTAATCATCTTCCTCCTCGAGTGTTTGGTTGCATTAGTTTTGTGCATCTTCATCATAGTGGTAAGCTTGACCCTCATTCCCTCAAATGTATTTTTCTTGGCTACTCTGCCACTCAGAAGGGGTACAAATGTTATCATCCTCCTTCCAAAAAACTCTTTGTTACTAGGGATGTTACTTTCCATGAGGAACACGCTTATTTCTCTCATCTTGGTTCTGAGACTTCTCTTCAGGGGGAGAATATAAGTTGTGAAGATAAGTCTTATGGTGTGCCAATGTTTGAGTTGGAAAAAATTGAAAAAAATGAAAGTGAAAAAAATGATAATGGAAGAGAAGGCAATTCTTTGACTCTCCCACCTGTGGGTCATCGTATGACACCATATGATTTGGTGTATACAAAAAGAGATAAGGTGCCCTTTCAGAGAAATGACGAATCTGCTGCCCCGGTGACAGGTAATTCAAAGGTAGAGTTTGTTGAACCTTCTTTTTCTTTACTTGAAAATAACCCTATAAACTCTGTTCCTCCAATTGATAATGAATTACCTGTTGCCTTAAGGAGACCACTTCGTTCTTGCCCATCAAAGTACAAATATCCTATTTCAAATTTCATGTCTTCTCATGGTCTCTCTCCATGTTTTAAATCATGTGCCTATCAGTTGTCTTCTGTATCTGTTCCTCAAAAATTGCAGGATGCACTAGACAATCCAAGGTGGAAGGAGGCGATGGATGAGGAATTGAGAGCTCTACGAAAGAACTCTACTTAGGAGTTGGTGGAGTTGCCAAGGGGGAAGAAATTTGTTGGTTGCAAGTGGGTGTTCACAATAAAACATAAGGCAGATGGCTCTGTTGACAGATACAAGGCAAGGTTGGTGGCAAAAGGGTATACTCAGACCTATGGGATAGATTACCAAGACACATTTGCTCCAGTTGCAAAGATGAACACAATTCGGGTCCTCTTATCTCTGGCAGCTAACTTGAGGTGGACTCTTCAACAATTTGATGTGAAGAATGCTTTCCTCCATGGAGACTTAGAGGAGGAAGTATACATGGACATGCCTCCAGGTATAGATGAGACCTCTCAAGGGAAAGTATGCAGACTGAGAAAATCATTGTATGGCTTGAAATAGTCTCCTAGGGCATGGTTTGATATATTCTCTCAAGCTATGCAAAAGTATGGATATCGTCCTAATCAAGCAGATCATACATTGTTCCTACGACATTCTCGGGATGGTAGGATTACTATTGTTGTTGTTTATGTAGATGATATCATTATGACAGGGGACGATATAGAGGAGATCAGTAAGATGAAGATACATTTGGCCAAGGAATTTGATATCAAAGACTTGGGGACACTACGATATTTTTTAGGCATTGAAGTGGCACATTCAAAAGAAGGAATCTTTGTATCACAAAGAAAATATGTACTTGATCTTCTGACTGAAACTGGAATGTTAGCATACAAGCCCGTGGACACTCTTATTGAACAAAATCATAGATTAGGAGAGCAAACTGATGATACACCTGTTGATAGGGGGAGATATCAAAGGTTGATAGGGAAGTTGATATATTTGGTTCATACAAGACTAGATATAGCTTATGCAGTGAGTGTCGTCAGTCAATTCATGCACGAGCCATGTGAGGTCCACATGCAGGCAGTTGAAAGGATACTGAGATACTTGAAATCAGCACCTGGTAAAGGCCTTTTATTTTCAAAGCACGATAACTTTGCTATAAAGGCCTATACAAATGCAGATTGGGCCGGTTCAGTTTCAAACCGAAGATCAACCACAGGATATTGCATGTTTGTGGGTGGCAATTTAGTCACTTGGCGTAGTAAAAAGCAATCAGTTGTTGCTATATCTAGTGATGAGGCTGAGTTTAGGGCTATGGCCCACGGTGTGTGTGAATTATTATGGTTGAAAATTTTATTTCGAGATTTGAGGATTGCTATTCAGGGTCCTATTAGATTATTTTGTGACAATAAGGCAGCCATTTGTATTGCTCACAACCCTATACAACATGATAGAACCAAACATATTGAGATTGACAAACACTTCATCAAGGAGAAAATATCACAAGGATTGATTTGCACTCCTTACGTGAAAACCAATGATCAACTTGCTAATATTCTTACTAAGGGAGTTTCTAGCAAGGTGTTTGAGTCTTCTTTAGCCAAGCTGGGAATTCAAGATATCTATTCTCCAGCTTGAGGGGGAGTGTTGACTTGTATATACTTAATTGTACATAATAGCATATTGGCATAGTTAGAGGCTTCCTCATAGGAGTTGACTTTTAGCCTTTATTTTCTTTCCATACTTGTAATTGGCTGTGCACTATTTAATCCTCCTTTGGGAGAAGAATAAGAGAGATGACTATTCCTGTATCTCTAGAGATATCAACACTTAATTGTACAAGATGGACTGAAAGTTTTATCTCCATCGATCTATTGATAAAATTACTGATATTGTACGTAGCATGAATTCCTTTAATAAGAGACACGAAATTTGGGTCAAATGTTGTAGTGATTTCAATATGGGAAAGAAAAATATAGACAATGATGTGCCTAATAGGTGGAATTCCACCTATGAGCTTTTATGTGTAGCTATAAAATATAAAGCCCCTTTGCACAGGTATGTTCTAAAGGTAAATGAATCACATTCTTGCAATTTGCAAGTTCCTAATGAAGAAGATTGGGCAATAGCTCACCTTGTTAGTGGGGTTTTACAAATCTTTCATTCTTCAACAAAGATATTTTCTAATGTGTATTATCCTACTTCGAGTTGTGTTTTAATTGTTTAATCGATATTCATGGATCATTTGCTGCACTGCATATGCTGAAATTTCTATTTTTAAGGATGCTTTGACTGAAATGAAAGCAAAATTTGAAAAATATTGGGGAGAGTTTCCTACTGTGTTTTGCTTTGCTACTATTATGGACCCCAGGTTTAAATTATTTGCAATTAGTGAATGGTTAAGGATGATGGGTATTGATCAACCAACCATTGACTTAAAAGTTTCATCTTTAAAGGCTTTATTATTTCAATTATTTGATATATATATATATATATAAGAGGAGTGTAATATTTGATGTAGGCCAAAATGTGCAATCCTCCAGTCCAACTTCTAGTACCTTGAGTCAAACCCTTGGTTCTATAGTTATCCCTATTGTAAAAAGGGCAAAGCTATCATCTTCATCTTCATCTTCCTCTTCTTCCACCACTATGTCTGAGCTACAACTTTATCTTGATTTACCAAAAATAGAGGTTGTTGATGATAGTCAATTTAGTCTTTTGGGTTGGTGGAAAGGCAATAAATCATTATATCCTATTGTTTCCCTTATGGCTTGTGATTTACTAACTATTCCAGCTTCTACTGTAGCATCAGAATATATTTTTAGTGCAGGTGGTAGAGTTTTATCTGAGAAGAGGGCAAGATTGAGTCCAAATACAATAGAAGCATTAATTTGTTTGAAAGATTGGACCTTAGGAAATTCAAGGATGCAAGATGCAACACAAGAAGAGCAATGCACAAAATAATTAATGAACATTAGAGCCATAAGACCAGATTGGATGACATCCAGTGGATAGGTTGACAGTGAATCTGACTCGATGAAGCCCGTAAAAGCCTAGCCCATGGGGTGGGCTTGGGCTTTTATTTTGTAGAAAAAGCCTAGCCCGGCCCAGCCCGGCCCGTATATTTCAATTAATCTAATAAAGCCCGGCCTGGCCTCGCCCAAGCCCAATAGGCTTGGGATGTGCTAGCCCAGTCCGGCCCATTGACAATCCCTACCTAGCAACGAAGAGGAAGCGTACTCTATATCAAATGTGCATCCTCATCTAGAAAGCATTTTCCAAGCCTCCACGGTGCATGTTACACAAGTGCAATCTGAAACTCCGCAACAATCAAGTTGGACTCAAATGCATACAAGCTAGGTGCATTTGGTGCATGGTAAGAGTGGAAGATATTGATTATGGTGGAGGTCTTTCTTGCATAAATTGGGAAGCAAATTTTAAGGTTGGAAGAGTTTTTCCAAATAAGCTTGCCCTTATAAAAACCTTATGTTTAGCAGTAGTCAGAGGCCACTTTCGATTTAGAACAGTCCAATCTGTGAAACGTAGGTTGTGTGTTCATTGTTGGCAACTTCCTTGCCCTTGGCGACTTCGGGCATATAAAGTTGGGTTACATGAGTTTAGGGTTGTCAAATACGATCCATTTCATGAATGTGGTCTAAGGTATCTTAGTAGTCACCATCCTCAAGCTAGTACTTGATTGTTGTCCGACTCTGTGAAGCACAGATTGAAGGATTCCCGCACCATTTATACTGCACGTGATATCATCAAAGATGTGCGACAAAATTTTGGTGTGACCATAAGCTACTCTAAAGCTTGGAGAAGCCGAGAGTTAGCTTTAAAGATAATTAGAGGGTCTGCAGAAGAGTCATATGCTATTCTCCCTTCCTATTGTTATGAATTGGAGCGTACAAATCCTGGAACTTTGACATACATTGAGACTGATGCAGCCAACCACTTTTTATATTTTTTTATGTCAATTGGTGCATGCATAAGAGGATTTAAGTCCTCAATGCGTCCTGTGATTGCTATTGATGCTACCCATTTGAAGTGCAAGTATAAAGGTGTTTTGTTTGTTGCCATCACATTTGACGGAAATGGTTATATATGTCCTCTTGCCTTTGGGATTGGAGATTTGGAGACGGATGCAGCTTGGGAATGGTTTTTCACAAAACTACATTGTGCAATTGGTGATTGCTCGAATCTTGTTGTCATATCTGATCAAAATCTTAGCATTGAAAATTGGTTGAAAAGAGTTTTTCCTGAGGCAGCACATGGTATTTGCTTTTATCACTTGAAGAGCAATATGAAAGCCTCATTTAAGTTGAAGAAGCAGGATCCGATATTGGGGTTTTTTGTGCGGGCAGCCAAGTCTTACCGTCTAGCAGAGTTCAATCGTTATTTCTCCATGATAAACAACGAGCGAGTGCAAACTTATCTAGTACACACAGGGCTCCATAAGTGGTCTCAAGCCGATTGTGACGGACGACGATATAATGTCATGACAACTAATATTGCAGAGCCCATTAATTCAGTTCTTCATTTTGCAAGGATGCTTCCAGTGGTACACTTGATCGAGGAAATTAGGAATATGCTTCAGAATTGGTTTAGTCAACATCGAGATTTGTCAATGAAATGTAAATCTATGTTGTGCCCTAATTTAGGCGAAAAGAAGTTGAGGAAGAGATTAAACACTGCTTCAAGGATGAATGTGGTTAAAATGAATGATGTGAAGTATAATGTGCTTGATGGTGATATGAACGGTCTCGTGCACTTGCAAAACCATAGTTGTACATATAGGGAGTTTGACTTAGAGCAACTCCC